TGATCTATGTTCAAATTCACTTTTTATTTTCAACTTACTGTTAAGTGATCAACTATCAGTCCTAAAGGAAATCAACCCTGAATGTTTATTGGAAGGACTGATGCTGAAGCTCCAGTTCTTTAGCCACCTGATACGAAGAGCTGACTCACTGGAAAAGACCCTGATGCTGGGAATGGTTGAGGGCAGCAGGAGAAGAGGGTGACAGAAGATGAGATGGATAGCATGGTTGAATAGCATCACCAACTTAATGGACCTGAGTTTAAGCAAACTGGGAGATACTGGAGGACAGGGAAGCCTGGCGTGCTGCAGTCATGGGGTCGCAAAGAATCGGACACATCTTAGCAACTGAACAATAGCAACTGTTAAGTGCATCCAGTGAAATTTTTAAAAGATATTTTTCAGTTTTAGAAGGTCCATTTGATTGTTCATAGTTTTGCTTTTTTCTTTGCTGGAATTTATTTTTTCATTTATTAGTGTGTTTTTCCTTTCATCTTTGAGCACAGTTATAATAGTTATTTTAAGATCTTTGCTAATTCTAACTTCTAGGTCATCTTGGGGTTGGTCTTTCATTGGTTGACTTTTTTCCATAGTCAGGGTCACACGTTCTTGTTTTTCTATGTGTCTAGTAATTTTGGATTGTGTTTTAGTCTTTATGATTGTTTTTGTTCTCATGGAACTCAAACCCCAAGTTTCCATAACTTCTGTGGACATCAGCAGCAGACATTTCTGCTTAGTCCTTTTATCCATAATTGGGCTGCTTGCAGTCAGCCCCACACAAATGCAGTTGAGGGATTGTTTAAACATCTGAGTTGAATTTATGCACAAGGTTCAGTTCTAGACTATCCTCCAGTTATTTCCTTTGCCTTCAATTTGTTTTTATATTTTTTTCAGTTGTTGTTTAGATACTAAGTCGTGTCCAACTCTTGTGATCCCATGGACTATAGCCTGCCAGGCTCCTCTGTCTCTAGGATTTCCCAGGCAAGAATACTAGAGTGGAGATTACCCTTTCCTTTTCCAGGAGATTTCTGACCCAGAGATTGAACCCACGTATCCTGCATTGGCAGGTGACTTCTTTACCACTGCCACCAGGAAGGCCCATTTTGTCCAGAGTTAAATGCAGGAGGGTTTGGTCTGATAGGAGCTACTCTTCCAATTACCAGAAAATGTGACTGATTTAAATTCTTTGAGGACAGTGACCATATTTTAATTCATTCTTTTCTCTGTAAAATCTTGCACACTGAATATGCCCAATAGAAGCTTATTAATGGAAGGATGAATAAAGTTATCACTTTCTAAGAACTGTTAATGAATCTAGCTCTTCTAGCAAGTTAAGAGAAAAGGATGGCTTATTTGCTATCCATACATCTTCCATGTGTCTTCTTTGATGTAATACCTGTTTAAATCTTTTGCCCATTTTTAAATTGGGTTGTTTGTTCTCTTATTTTTCTTAAAGAATTTTAAGTGTATCTTGGACACAAATCCTGTATCTGACATGATTTGCAGATATTTTCCTCCTATCTGTAGTTTGTTTTTTCTTTCTCTTCATAAGTATCTTTTGTAGAACATTTTTATTGCTGGTGTCAAATTTTTAGACATAAGTTTTTCTTTTGTGGACCCTGCTTTTGATGTTCTAAAAACTCACTACCAAATTCAGGGTCACACAGCTTTGCTGTTTTCCTAGAAGTTTGATAATGTTAAGTGTTGCATTTAGGTGATCCATTTTGAGTTAATTTTTATATCATGGTGTGTGTTGACGTTCATGTTTTTGCATATGGACTTCGAGTTGTTCAAGTACCATTTGATGAAACAATTGAAGAACTTTTCTAATAGCTAACTTTTGAATGCTTACCTACCCAGACTTTTGTTTTACGTTACCTAATTCACTTTTCACAGCATGCCATGTGGAAGCTGCTGCTGCTGCTGTTTTTCCATGCGGAAATTGAGAAAAAATAATTTAGATTAGTTGTTTAGAGTTACAGAACTACTAGCTGTCAGAACTGTAATTTGAATCCAGTTCTCTCCCTTTCTAAGCCACATTGAGGAGAAGTCAAGAATTAAAATATGAGATTCATATGGTCAGAGTACAATTTAGAAAAATGGCAGCTTACTACATTTTTGAGGTTAGGTTGTAGGGTGGGAAGATAGAAGATTGCAAGAGATGGTGGTGGTCTGACCAACCAGACAACTGAAAATTAGATTTAAGTAAGGTAGGAGGTTGACTTTAATGATTGGATATTGGTATAAGAAAGGAAAGAATTAATTTGTAAGTGTAGAATACAGAAGAGTAAGATTGGAATTTCCTATGCTACCTCCTGGGAATGGGAGAAAGGAAAGACTTGGAAATACTGAAGAGGAGAGAGATTTGGTTTATAAATACAAACTGGGAGTGAGGTCCTGTGGATATACCATTTAAGTATCAAAGCACTTAGAGTGGATGAGATTGCTTGGGCTAAAGGTTAGAATTCTGAGGAACACTGACATTTATGAGTTGAGTAGACAAATAGGAGTTTGTGAAGAAGCCTGAGAAGAAGTAACTAGACACATAAGAAAGTAAAAAGAATTGTAAGAGAATGCCTAACAACAGAACAGCATTATAAGAAGAGAGGAAGTGCTTTGTAATATCAAATACTATGGAATTGTAAAGCGAGAGAACTGACTGGGAAAAATACTAAATAGGATTACATTGTAAGGCTTCAAAGTTTGAAGGCTGTGAGTTTGTAGTGGCTTCAGTTTTGAATGGTTTTCTCCAGCAGTACTTAACATTAGGAGGCAAAGAGACTATGACTTAAGAACACATTGTCACATGAAAGGTAAAAAGCAGTCTAAACTGTTAGAAATGGAAAAAGAAAAACATGCTGTAGTTTAGTTTGAGAAGAAGGGAAAAGAATTATTCTTTTAAGTTACGGTTGATTTACATTATTAGTTTCAGGTGTACAGCATAGTGATTGATTATTTTTATAAATTCTGCTCGGTTGAAAGTTCTTACAGGTAATGACTGCCTGCCTGTGCTGCGCAGTGTGTCCTGTTGCTTCCCATTTCATGCACAGTAGTTTGTACCTCTTACTCTCACACCCCTGATCTGCACTCCCCTTCCTTTGGTGACCAGTAGCTTGTTTTTTCTATCTGTGAGATTGTTTCTGCCTTGCATGTATATTCATTTGTATTATTTTTTAGATTTCACATATAAGTGATATCATACAATACTTTCTGTGTCTTATTTCACTAAGCATAATACTCTCTGGGTTCATCCACATTGCTGCAAATGGCAGAATTTTGTTCTTTTTATGATTGAGTAATGTTCCATTGTCTGTAAACACCACGTTTTTATTTCATTTGTCTGTTAATAGGCATTTGGGTTGCTTCCATGTTTTGGCCATTGTAAGTAGTGCTTCTGTGAACATTGGGATACATGTATCTTTTTGAATTGATATTTTCCAGTTAGATACCCAGGAGTGAAATTGCTGGATCATATGGTGGTTCTATTTTTAGTGTTTTGAGGAACCAACATACTGTTTGCATAGTGGCGGCTGTACCAGTCTACGTTTCCACCAACAGTGTACAAGGCTTCCCTTTTCTCCACATCCTCTCCAACATTTGTTGTTTGTAGATCTTTTGATGACAGCCATTCTGATAATTGTGAGGTGGTATCTCATTTTGATTTGCATTTTTCCAATAATTGGTGGTATTGAGAATCTTTTCACGTGCCTGTTAGCCATCTGTATTTCTTTGGAAAAATGTCTGTTCAGATCCTCTGCCCATTATCTGATTTGAGGTGTGAGTTTGTTTGTTTGTTTGTTTGTTTTGCAGGTGGTGGGTTTTGGTGTTTTTTTTTATGTGTGGTGTATGAGCTATTTGTTTTGGATATTAACCCCTCATATTATTTGCATCATTAGTCATATTATTTGCAAATATTTTTCTCCCATTCTATTGGTTGTCTTTTCAGTTTGTCGATTTTCCTGTACAAAAAGCTTTTAATTAGATTCCATTTGTTTATTTCTGCACTTATTTTGTCTTAGGAGACAGATCCAAAAAATACTGCTGTGATTTATGTCAGAGTGTTCTGCCAATGTTCTCTTTCAAGAGTTTTGTGGTTTCTTACATTTAGGTCTTTAATCCATTTTTAGCTCATTTCTTATGTGATGTGAGATAATATTCTAACCTCATTGTTTTATGTGTAACTGTCCAGTTTTCCCAGCTTGTTAAAGAGACTGTCTTTCCATTGTATACTCTTGCCTCCTTTGTTGTAGATTAATTGGCTATAAGTGCATGGGTTTATTTCTGGGCTCTTTATTCTGGTCCATTGATCTCTGTGTTTATTTTTGTGCCATTTCCATGCTCTCTTGCTAGTTGTAGGGAAAGGAATTGTTTTTAAGGGAACCTTTGAATATTAAAAAATATCAAAGCTGATTAATTTTTTATCATTGGTATAAGATCTACAAATAATAAAATTCTGAGAAATTTTGAGAACTGAAAAAAGTAGTACAAAGTAATAATTTTATAGTAGGAACTACAACATTTTTTTAAAAAGAAGATAACTGTTGGGACTTCCCTGATAGTGCAGGGAAGATTCTGGGCTGGTTAAGATTCTCTGCTTCCACTGCAGGGGGTCTGGGTTCAATCCCTGATCTGGAAACTAAGATCCCACATGCCTCATGTCACAGCCACACACAAAAAAGATAACTCTATTGTAGTACTTGAGCTCACTTTTTCTGTTCGTTACTTCCCATGTATTCCTTTGCTCAAGAAACTAGTAGCGATTTCTTTTGGCACACAGAATAATCCAAGAACCCTTGAACCTCCTGGTTTTCCCACAGATTTTAGTGTTGATTGCTATGGTACTCTATCTAGGAAAACCTATCTTTATAGAGAAACGGATTCTTGTCCATCTCAGCTCATACTGTAACATCAGTAATAGAAGAATGTAATATAAAAATAGTTGATGCAGTCTAAGATTTTCTAATTTTGTTTTTGTTATTCAACAGGTTTGATCTGTGGATGAAATGAATCATGATTTTCAAGCTCTTGCATTAGAATCTCGGGGAATGGGAGAGGTAAATATTTATGAATACTAAGGATGTGTATCTCACTTTGTCTTTGAGCCACTGAAACTTGTTTATTAACTGTAAATCTTTTGAAAATAGTGGTGATATCTTCCAAATGATGTGGGCTTTTAAAATCTATAGTTGTGGAAATCTCAGCCTTTTTTTTTTTTTTAAACTTTTAGCAGTAATGTTAGTGGGATTATTGTGTCTAGTTGATTTGATTGACCTGGTTAGATAATGTCATATTTTGGTAATGGACCATAATAACTTTGATCAGAAAAGACCTCTCCTTGATCTTTGTCCTGCTGTTTTATATATGTATGCTATGTTTGCTTTAGCCACACTTAATTGTTCACTATCCTCTCACAAAAATTTCTCCTTGTTCATTGTTTGCTTAATAAACTTCTAATCCTCTGCAGGACTCTACTGAAAAAAGGCTCTTTATCTGTTTGCTATTTGCAGTAAAGTTAATTACTTCATCTGACTTCTCGTGGATCTTCATACATACTTTTATTATAATACTGGTTACAGTTTATTCATTTTATATTAGTCTCCTCTGTAGATTGTTAGCTTTGAATGACTAGCACACAGTGAGCACTCCTAATACTTTGGATTTTATCAGTCCTGTTTTATGATTTTCATTGGGGCATCCCATTTAACCTCATCATTACATAATTTAAGGCGTCAAAAATACTTAGTTTTCCATATACCTAAATGAATATTTAGAAAACTTTAATTGACTATGAAAACCCTTGTGGTCACATTTTTGATTTGTCATGTTCTGTAATACTAACATAGTGTGGACTTTGATAATAGAAAATAACCATGAACAGACCTAAGATGTGTAATTAACTGCTTGCTCCTGGAGATTATTTTACTTTGGTAGACCTTCATGAGACTCACTCCATCCAATGCTGTGCTCTTCAGATGCAGAAAAAGAGTCCAGTCACTCCTCTGGGCCACAAGAGGGCACCCTGCAGCTAGCTAACCCTCCCCTTCTTCAGAACAGCGTTTTCCAAAGAGTTTGTCATTTTCAGAGGACTGATTTAAGGGTGAGTTAAGGTGCTTAAGCATAAGTGTTGCCAAAGTAAACTTGTTAGTCCAGTGCTTAAGGTAAAACTCTGGGCCCTAAGAAAATTTGAGAGAGGGAATAATTTTTAGTTAAAAGAAGACCTTGCAGCCTCCCTGCAGTGCAGTGGCTGCTTAGGCATTGTTTACACTCTGGGTGAACAAAAAGAAACAGTTCAAAGGGCTTTTGTTTTTTTCCTTGTTACTTGTTTTCTTTGGTCTTTAGAAAGTAGGATAACATATTTTAAAAGCAAGTTTGAACAGTGTTTCAGCTTAGTCTGTAACAGACTTGAACTTACTTTTTTTTAATACCAAATATAGTCACACCCTTACCTGTTCTGTTTAGACCTCACAACACTTTACTTTCCACATCTACGTTGAGTGGGTATTTACAAATTGACTTTTTTCCTCCCTTTCTAAGTAGTAGTTGATAAATCCAAAGACATCTTTGCAGTTTTAAAAAAGGGTGTCATGATCAGAAGTAGTACAGAGAGTTTAGTTATTTGGGGGGTAAGAGGAGGGGTATTTGAGGTTTCTGGGGAAAAGAGACTGGGTTTTTAAATGATATAAAGCTTAAATCCAGGCTTTTCTTAGTGGAAATGTCAGATATACAGAGTAAAGGTGGTTAAGGTTAGGCTGTTTGGTTTTTTGGCAGGTAGTTAGAAGGTCATGCTTCTGTGACCATCTGGTAAAAATGTATTTTTTTTAATAAGCTGTATTCACTAATTAAGTTTTTTTTTCTTAACAGTTTACCAGCTAATTCTGTTACTCTAAGAGATAGTGAGAAACCTTTTGAGGTTTTTGTCTCTGGGTTCCCTCTCCCACAAGCCTTTCTATCTTTCCTCATCTCACAGGCAGCAGGGAACCTTCTGGGATTTCCTTCTTTGCCTGTCTCTGTCTCACCAGTCTTCTCCTTTCCTGACAGGTGAGGCTTGTTGTTTTATCCCAGAATTCATTCATTTTAATAAACTAAAAGCAGGCTTGAGTTTTCTAGAATTGCTTATTTATTTTTTCAATGCAAAATCCTTTTCTAATATATTGCCCTATCTTGACCTTTTTTTTTTAATAAAGCTTTACTTATTTATTATGTCTTAAGTTGTAAATCTAATGTACAAAGCACTGCATTGCATATAGGGTTATTTTCAAATGTACTGGGTTATGTAGATCATGATAGCTTTTACTGACTCATCATCAGAAGGACAGTTTCTTCTGGTTGTTCATCCAAAATAGATTTGTAATCATCCATTCATAAACTCATTCTTTCCAATTTATTCCATAGCACATTTTTGCCAGAAGGCCTACCCGTTTGTATTATGTCTCGTGGCTTAAAAAGAGCAAACCTAACCCATAGGAGGTTGAACTCATTTTCGTTAGCATGTTGTTTTAAAACTGTACTACAGAGACACATACCTACCTATTTTTATATATAAAAATTAACAGGAATTCTGTGTGTGGGTGCGTATATATACATACACTTTTAAATAAGAAAAAGAGGCTCCTGCTTGAAATTCTTTAGGGAACCCAAAATTTAACTTTAAATCATTGAGTTAATGTGTTTTGGGGGAGTATTTCATACCTTAGTATGGTAAAGCGCTCTCCTTTCTTTTCTGACACAGTAATATTTAAAGAAAACATTAAGGAAAATTTGTGTAGTAAGATCCCAGGTAGTATGGTGAAGTGGAAAACATATTGGAGAGAAGATGAAGGAGACCTCTATTTTCTCTCAAGTCTATCACTAGTTCTATATGACCTTGAGAAAGATTGACTCTTTGAAGGTAGCAATAAGAATAGCATTTGTATCAGTCACACACATCTCTCAGATGCTCTGATCTGAGATGCTGGGGATAACTGGAGTGGAAACCAGCTGATTAGAGTTATGTCTGTAAATTCCTGTCTTAGCCATTCTGTCTGAAACTTTATCCACTCTAATGAATACCCACATTACATGGTCTGTATATCATGATAGCATCTTAAGCTTCTATTTTTTTCGTTATGGTTATTTGTGGCCTAATAACTGGATATTTTTAGAAATACTGATAAATTAGACTACTGTTGGAAAGAAACATCTTCTGTGGTAGTTAAGTGTAAAGAATATGGGCTTTGTAATTAAGCAGTTAGGTATTCAACTCCTAATGCTGCCTAACTAGTTATACATGTATGTAATATTATATGTAATCTTGGACAGTTTACTTAACCTCTAATTCTGTGTCCTTATGCAAAATATAACTATTAGGCAACTGTTTTTTATAAGTGTAGTTTCATGGTCCCCCTAGGATACTCTAAGATTCATATTTTTGGTCGTGAAGATATTTACTGCTTATTTTGGCATATGCTTGATGCTATTCTAAATAGTTTATTTATGTTCTTGTATTCTACCCTCATAGAAACTCTAAAACAGTAGCTTTATTATTATCCTTACTTTTCAGATGAAGAAACTGAGGCTGAGTTAATTATCTGGCCCAGTACAATAGTGCTTGAACAACAGATTGAACTCTTGAGTGCCTTGACTGTTGGTTCCCATTGGAAGTGATGACATCTAATAATATTTGCTGTGATATTAAGGGGTATGGAGAATGTAAAAGATTTGAGAGTAGTGTGATTTGAAAACATTAAGTATTGATATCTTTTATTAACAGAGAGGGCTAAAGTCTGGAAAAGCACCATTCTGCAGTTCTAGAGAACTCCCTTGTGGCTTTTGTTTTTGACTTGCCTAATTGTTAGCATCTGTACCTTTTATTAACTTCCATTGTAAATAGAGTCACCTTATATCCCAATTTGTTCAGACAGTCCAGATACATGTTATCATGGCGTAATTGTTATTAGTACTCTCTTTCTCAAAACTGTCCCAGTTTGGATGTTATATATATATATTATATATATATAATGTGGACATAGAGTCTTCAAGTTCTCTTAATTCTTAGAATTATGTTAATTTTTTTGGTTTGGTGATTTTACTTGACAATTTGTATTAGAAAAATCTAAAGTGTAAGTGTAACTCATAGTATAAATTGTAGCAAGAATTTTATTTATTATTTATTTTGAAGTAGTATAGCAGTATACTGGAGTGTTGACTGATTTCTTTGGAGATGAAAAGGGCAAGGCATAAGTGCTTCTTTAAAGAAAGAACTAATGAAATGGTGGATAGTGGGGATTTGAATCTGTATGTCCACCTAATCATTTCTGAGTTGGAAGGACAGAGGAGTATGTTCTTGACAAGAAATGCCAAGTTGTTTGACCTTGGTTTAGAGCTTTTGAGAATTAGGGAAGTAATATGAAGCAGTATTGGACAATGTATTTTACAGATCTTCAAGATCTCTTAGCGTTTCTTTTCTGTAATGTGCTTTTCCATTTCTGCTACAGTAAAAGAGTCTCCAGGGGCAAAACACTATTTTTATTGCTATTCCAACCACTGTACCTGTTAATCTTTTTTTAAGCTGTTCTATTTACTGCCTTCCCCTATATTTAGTCCATTTTAACGTAATTCTTGGCTAGTAGTTTCTCTAAAAATATTTGAAATCAGTGTCTACATTGTCACAGCTGTCTCTGGAATGGTGATAAAGGCCTTTGTTAGGAGAACTGTTAATTTTATTAACTACTAAATTGTTTGTCCATGATAATTTACAAGTGCTTGCAGAATGAAGAGAGAGTCATAGCACAGTGCTTGGCAGAAAGTAGGCACACTGGATAAGTCCTTGGCATAGACTTCCCTCCAGGTTTTATAGTTTGGGTGTCAAAGCAGTGATCTGTGAACTATTGTAGCACTACATGGAATCTTACCCCAAAGACTGGAATAGTGTCCTCAGAAAGATTCTTATTTCTACTACCTCACAAGATGAGATTAGTTTGTTTTAGCCACTTCTGTGTCTAATAAATGCTCCTATTAATTTATGATGACTTCATTTTTGATTACTTATTTGTTATCCTTATTTTGATATTAAAACACTTATCTTTATGAAGTATAGGATAAAAGTCTTACTCTTTCGAGAACCATTTTCTTCTGCCTGAAATGGCTTATTTATACAGTACTTTAAAGGGATTAACTTGGGTTTCACTGTGAATAATTGTTCAATAATTTAGTATATCAAGAGCAGTGTTTTAGTATTATCATCTTTACATTTTGTTTGAATATTTGCATGAAACTTGATAGTGAGATTAAAAAAAAAAATCAGAACAACCAAGGTTGTATTTCACTGGAATCTTTGTTAGTATAGATTATTGTTTAAAATGCCTGTTCTTCAGGGAATTCCCTGGTGATCCAGTGTGTAGGGCTCTTACCTGACCTCGGTAGGGTTCAATCCCTGGTCAGGGAACTAGTATTCCACAAGCCATGTAGTTGTGGCCAAAATAAATCAACAAAATCTCTTTTAAAATAATAATAGAAATAAATAAAATGTCTGTACTTTAAATACAAATCATTTGCAGCTCAGGAAGATCCTAACATGCAAAAAAAATTTTTTTTTTTAATAGAGAACTTAGTTTCCTTTAAAATTAACAGTATTTAGGTTAGCAAAAGATCCATAGATTAGGCATATGCCCAAATTGAATCCACCCCACTCCCTTCAAAAGCTGCTTATCCTGTTTTTGTGTTTGTTTTGGTTGGTAGTAGTATCATTTACCTTGTTACCCAGATTGTAAAGTTTTATTCTTTTTAATCAGCCTCTTATTTTTGTATGTATCCTGTTGACTCTCCTGAATGTCTCTGAAATCCATTTTATTTTCTCAGTTCTTTCTGTCAGTGCCCTGTTGCAGTTCTTGTCATGTTGACTCTGTTGTAATTCTCCTGAATGATTTCCTTGCCTCTGGTCTAGAATATCCATTATTCTTAGAACTTTGAGGTTCCTCATAATCTGCCTAGATAGCTCTCACAGCATCAGCTCCCACATCTGTTCCTCCGTCTCACACCCTGTTGTACAAACTATGCGTTTTCTCAAGCTGTGCCTTTGTCCATCACTTCTTGTGTCCTCTCCACCTTCCATTCACACTTTAAACCCCTGTCACACACATAGTCTTATCTCTCAAGACCCCATATAAGTTTCACTAAGTTCAGTTTATTATAGGTGTTATATATTTGTGAGCTCTCTGAAGATAAGGTCACCATGCCCTTAAGGAGGCAAATACAGGTAATTTAGTATTTTAAGTGTAGCAATAGAAGTATATACAAGCTTAATTATGAGGACCTAATTATGGGCATGGGTTTGAGTAAACTCTGGGAGTTGGTGATGGACAGGGAGGCCTGGCATGCTGTGATTCATGGGGTCGCAAAGAGTCAGACATGACTGAGCGACTGAACTGACTGAACTGAATTACGGGCTGAGAGGGATGAGTGTCTTACACATGCTTACTTAAATGTCACATACATTGTTTAGAAAACCAGTCTGTTCTTTTCAAACAAACATACCCTCAGTCTGGTTCTTCTGAGTGTCAGGAAAGGTAGACAGGAGAGACCTGGATGAACACTAAAGTCTCACTAGGAATTGACCAAATGTACATTTTTATTAATCATCAAATGGTTATACCAACACAATTTTTATATTCTTGTGTGTGTTACAACATAGGATTGGACACAGGGCTTTGAGATTATCTCAAAAAGTATTTAAGGGTTTTCTTAATGTATCTCTTCCACCATCCTGCTTCCTGCTTTAGAATTAGATCGCTACTGTTGAGAACATAGGAAGAATTGCGAAGTTCACTTCCATTGAATTGTTAAATAAGAAGAATTGTCTGTCATTGAAGCTGTAGGATAGGAGATATTCCAAGAGCAGTACTTGGAAGTAAAGAGAAAGGTTTAATCATTTGTATAAATATTTTTATTATCTGTTTTAAATTTAGTAGGTCTTTTGAAAGAATTCATTAAAAATACCACATGACAGTAAAACCATTTGAAAAATGCAGAAGTATGAAGTTGACTTTTCAGGTCTAGAGTTATTAGAACCAGTATCCAAGCATAAATGGGGAGTTATTATTAACTAGACAAATTAGGAAACAGGGCACTCTTGAATTTTTGTTAGCGTTGAAAGCTAACGTATACCTATTGATGGTAAGTTTGCTTTCTGCTGTGTTTTTGCTCTTCGTAATTAGGATGAAATTTAAATATAATAATTTTTTTCCTTCCAATAGCTTTTGCCTACCAAAAAATTTTGGGAACCTGATGATTCAACAAAAGATGGACAAAAAGGCATATTTCTTGGGGATGATGAATGGAGAGAGACTGCATGGGGAACTTCTCGTAAGTTATTGGTGTATGTGTGAGAATTCTGAATTTGTTTAATACTTGAATTTTTTTAAAACCCTACTGCCCCCAAACGATACCTTCAGAAAATTTGTGGTATCTTCGAGGATTTCATGTGTCCTCATAATACACATTTTTTTATATAAAGTCAGCCATACCTAATGGTCCACTTATTGATTAGAAATGCTTGTCACAGTAAGATTTTATTAAGTTTTATTTGAGGTTAAACTCCTGATTATAAAATTCTGAATTTCCATTAAAATACAGGACACAATTTAACCATAAGAGTTTTTAAGCTTGAATTGTATCATTGGATAGTGATCTATTAACTGCAGCTCAGACTAGCTTTATTAAACATTAGCCACACGCATAAAGGAAATAAACCCCCATAGTAAGATAGAATTCCCAGAAAGGGAGCAGACTTTGAATGTTTTTGATATCCATAGGTAACAAAGACCGAGGTCCAAGAAACTCTTAAGGGAAAAGGAATTGGAATGTAAGGAGTATAACTCATGGGGGTGACAGTATTTATTGGTAAATTACAGAGCATACTTATATTCTTAAAATACTACTGATTATATTTTTAAATGTTTCTCATTAGTACAATTTGAGATGTACATGTGAAACTTTCAACATGTATTTAACAAATAAGTTTCCGCTTTATAACTGAAAGCAGCTAATTAAAACTATTCAAGATGATCAAAGTAATATAAAATCAAGTTTCTGGAATTAATTTTATATTTTGAGTGTAAATTGCCAGGTACTTTTTTTCTCTCCAAATCATTAAGACGGTTTTAAGTCCTTTACGGTTTTAAATTTTGTTCTTAAAAGTAATTGTTAAAAAGTTAGGAAAAGCTGAAAATTTTTAGTACTATTTGTAATCAAAATGGAAAGAGATTGAAAACTTTGCTAGATACTAAATTAGACTAAAACGCTGAGAATTTTATTTGCGTTCAACCAATATGTAATATAATGTGCCAGATTTGGAGAATACAAAGATAAATGAGATACGTGATCCCTGCCCTCAAGGAATTTTTTTTCTGGATTTGTGTTAACCTATGTAGATTGAACTTACATAATTTAAGTTATTCAGTTATTTGGGCCAGGATACATTTTTTCCACAAAAGGCACTTTCTTTGCTAAAACAACATGCTTGAAAATTTGGTTGATACGCATGTTTTGATTTTTGTTTTGAAAGTTAAATGGTTAATTGCTTTATTTATCAGAACCAAATATTTTTAAAAGCATTCCAAAGCAAAACATCTTGAGCACAACATGGTAATGAGAAATATTTTCAAGATGAATGTTAGGGAGATATTTTTGGTATGTTGTATTTGGAAGACAACTGGTACCAACAGTAAAACATTTAAGCAACTGTGTATATATTCCTGATATATCTTTTTAGTGTCAAGTTTATAATTTTAGTTAATTCCTTGTATCACTCCCTCTCAACTTTTTTTGTTGTACGGGTGAAATTTTGAAGATGAATATGTTTTTACCAGGAGACGTGAGAAAATTAGAAATGGATTATTTTGTTTACTGAGTAAACACTTATTGAATGCCAAACATGTACAAATATGAAAATGACATTCCTTGTCCTAAAAGAATTGTCATTCTATAGTTCTTTCCATGACCACAGGAGATTTTACCATGGACATATTTCCTTCTCAGCTGAGCTGAATTATTTGTGATTATTAATTTCATTGTGTTCTCCTGGCACTTTTAGGCCTTTGAGCATACTGGTTTCTCTAACCAGAGTGCTTTCCACCCGCATTTTCACCTATTTTTTGCTCTCTATCCTTCATATCACTTCCTTTGGGATTCACTCTAAGACTGGGAAAAAGTGATGAATATGCTTTCTCTTCCCCATAGTATCCTGGATTATTTTTATTGAAGTGCTTTTACTCTTACTATGATCGCTTCCTGTTAAACCTATAATCTCTTAGAGTTCAGGGACTGTTGTGTTCTTAGATCCCACATACATACCACAATGCTTAGCATATTGGTTCAAAATTTTTTTCTGCAAATCTAGGTGTCTTGCCTCAAATGTTTTTATGTTCATATTTGCTTTCAGATCTTAAGTATTGCCTTTTTTATCACAAAATAAGTAGAAAAGGTATTTGTACCAGATGGATAATTTTTTAAAAAATAAATGAAAAACTTTTAAGACTAGAAGGATTTTTTTTAATTAAAGAAATTTTTCTTTAATCTTTAAAAAAGGGGTCTTTAAAAAAAAAAATAAGTTGATACTTGGTCTTAAAGACTGTGATATTACTGGCTTTTTTGAATGAACTTAGTCATCTGTGTTTATAGCACTACAGTCATGTATTCTGAATCTATCCAATACATGACTGTGATCCTGAGAAGTGCCTCCGTCAATTTAGGAGGAGTTATTTTTATTTCAGGTTTTATCTCTATAAAGTTTTTTGGTTTGAGTTGTTCTGAATTGACAGTAGAACTTTTTAATAAGAGGCTTAAAAGCAGTGGAGAATTCAAATTGTTTCTATTGCCAGTGGCTTTTGAATTTGATTATTCTTCAGATAGCCTTTTACCTGCTTTTACCAAATGACTTTCTTAATCTGTATTCTCAAGAAATGTCTAAAGGGCAGTGAGTCTAAACAGATTGAAGATGTTTTTATAAAGTTTACAGTAACATTCAAAATAAAACAATATGCTGATTTTTCTTTAGTATATTGATGTGAATACATTTTGGTTAGCTTAAAAGTACAAATTTGTAATTGTTTTCTTTTTTCCAAACAGACCATTCAATGTCCCAGCCCATTATGGTACAGAGAAGATCTGGACAGGGTTTTCATGGAAACAGTGAAGTAAATGCAATATTGTCTCCTCGATCAGAAAGTGGAGGCCTTGGTGTGAGCATGGTAGAATATGTATTAAGTTCTTCTCCTGCTGATAAATTGGATTCTCGATTTAGGAAGGGAACTTTTGTGAGTATTTTGAATTAAATGTTTTTAAGTTGCTGGATGGTTATTTGATTGTCTTTAAGTCAGTTTCTTATTCTGGCCCTTCCTAGAATTAAAGGTAATTTTATAGCTATTAGTGCTCTTGTTTTCTTCTCCTGGCCACTTCTTGAAATACACGGAATTGTAGAACCACTGGGAACATTTATAATCTTAATCATGTTACCAAAACAATCATATTAATTAAAAAACAAAGTTTGTAAGATTAAAATTGCTTATTTGTGGTAGTACTTGATGTGACAGTTAAAAAAACAAAATCATCTTTCATTAAGTAGAATTTCAATTTCACTTGTGGTGTTACTGCTCTTCTAGCACCGCTATAGTTAAGGTTGCCTTAGCCCTTCTGTTATAAATCACTGGTTTGTACTCAATTTTTTTGGCCTTTGATAAATTCGTTGACTACAAAATTAAAATAAGATTCAATGTTTTTATTGTTTACATGCACTATAGTGTAGTTTTAGGTCACCTTGTGGTGCCTTTTTTTGTGTTCTATTAAATATTCAGAATCAAACAGATTCTTTTTCCTCAGGGCACTAGAGATGCTGAAACAGATGGACCTGAGAAAGGAGATCAAAAAGGCAAGGCTTCTCCATTTGAGGAGGACCAAAACAGAGATCTTAAGCAAGGAGATGATGATGATTCTAAAATAAATGGCAGAGGTTTGCCAAATGGAATGGATGCCGATTGCAAAGATTTTAAGTAAGATTTTCACTTTCTCAAGAAGAAAATCATATCTCTTTAGGGATTATTGCTACTAGCTGATATGACTGATTTAGGTATTTTTCCAACTTTGGGTTTTTTTATTTCCCTTTGTACCTTGTATTAATCTGGAGGAAGATTTAAAATCTTTTATAAGGAGTACTAGTTAATGATTATGTGCCATTTTTTAAAAAGATAAGTCTTCAAGTTTCTCTAAAACAATGCATTCCATTAAGTAATGTTAGAAGTTGCTATTACCTTTCTACTAATATGGTAGTCTAAATTTTAACTGTTTTCTCCCTGCTAAAGTTTAGTTAATTTAAGGTTTAATCTGTGATTTTTCTTGGCAAACTCTTCTTGAGTTTGCTCTTAGCACCTTTCTGTAGAGTTTTCTCTTCCTTCTATCTCTGTATTGTATCCTATCTCCCCTTTTCTGAGTTTGTGCTGATACTTAATCATATTCCTGAAATTAGGACAGGAGGAACATATCAGACTTCTAAAAATTAGTGTTAAGTTCAGAATTTAAGTTCAGTTGTAGATTTTTTGTTGTCTCTTTATGGCAAGTATTTCTTTTGTTCTAGCCTTTGGACTTAGATTAGGCAGTGCACATTCATCTAACTATTAGGGAGTTGTTTCTTCATATCCTGAACTTTATACTTCAGTAATCAGATGCTTTGGGACCTATACCTGAAAATAGTTGTTTCTTTGCTATCTTCTGAACCATGAAATATCAGTTAGTTGTTAGGTACATGTTTGTTTATTACCTTTAATTTTCAAAAAATAGAGTAACAATACTTCTTAAAAACAGTGCCATTTAAATCTGTTCTAAATGCAAAAAAGCATCCAAAACCAGTAAACCTCTTTTGACAAGAAATAAATTTAATGCTACTCAGTTTGTTTTAGAACCTTATTCTGATTTGCTCTTCTGCTATTACCTAATCTGTGTTCAAGGGCATGCATTTAAAACTGAGTTGATTATAAACCCTGCAGAGAGTATACATTTATAATTGAAGTGTTAATACACCATTAACTATAGCAAGAAAATAGCACCACTCATAGCATAATGACTTTTTCTTTTGAATCCTCTACTTTTTTTTGCTGTATTAGAGTTTTGTTTGAAAGACTATATTTCTCCATATTAATGTGAACTTTACATTCATTAGCATTCTAATTCCATTAAGTTTGTAGTATGTTTTTTAAATTGCTTATAAAGTATTTCTGATGCAATATTGTCTTCAACAGTATAAAAACATTTCAGAGTAATAGCTGTGGTCATATGGTCACTATGGTAGCACATCATTATTACATACATTAACTGATACATCATCTGTTGGAATAGAACTGAAAGGAGTGAAAGAAATATATCAGACTTTTGTTGTTCTTTGTTGTTGTTGGAATATGATTGCTTTACAGTGTTGTGTTAGTTTCTGCTATTCAATGAAGTGGATCAGCTATATACACACACACACATACCGTCTCTCTTGGACCTTTTCCCACCTCTTTCTTTTTTCCAATGGACTGATTTTAAAGAAGATCCTTTCAGTTTTATTTTTCTTCCCATATATTCTGAATGAAAAGCCTTTGGATTATTCACATGAAAATTTTAATTGTGGGTAAAGGGGAAAGGAGTTTGAAATTTCTTCTCATGTTGCAAGGACAGTGGTTAATTTTGAAATAAAATGTAAGTCCACAAACCTAAAGTATCTGGAAAACAGTTCTTGTGATTAATTGCTTTATGAAATGTTCTGTACGTTTATTCCATTGTAAAGTACCTAAAAGTGGGGCAGTTACATATGGATAACCGTTGACATTGAAAGACAGGTTATAATAGTTACTACCATTTATTTAATGTACTTATATTTGAATATGCTATGAAATGATAGTTCCTCAGAACAAATTTACTTCTTGTGAAGGATAAGATCTTATATAAATTATTTCCACAGAAGGAAGGGGACTGTTAATAAGGATCACTTATGTCCAGAAATTAAGTGAAAATAGTTTAGACTGTAAAGGATGTTGATAAAAAGAGGAGAGTCGGTGCTTAAAATTTAGTGTTAATAAATTTCTTCAGAAAATTAAGACTAATCAGTAGAGAAAGTTGCTCTTTGTATATAAAATTATACTCTTCATTGATGTGCATGCTTAATTTTGGATAAATATTCATTTTTATTAATTTCTGATGATTTAAACTGAAACAATTTGGTATGATAAAGATAGTTTCTGGAGAGCTCATAGAGGGTTTTTACAAATAGTCTTTTTGTTATTATAGAACTACAGTGTCACCTCCTCTGTCTCAAAGAAACTGAGACCTGGGTGTTGAAATGATTTACTCAGAATTTAGAGTCAGGAGTCAGCTTTCTGTCTTGCTTCATTGCCCTTTTCTTTTGTATTCTGTATTATATAGTCTTCAGTTGTGAAGGCCATATGATTCTTTCTGGCCGGTCCGTCCGTCCCCCCCCCCCCCCCCCCCCGAAGTATTAGGCAAGATGTTAGGACAGCTATGCTGGTAGACAGGATGGGAGTATGGTGGGTAGGTTTTGGTTTCAAGTCTTCTCATATTTGTTGCATGGTAGTCTGCTGTTCATACCTACTGCTCATTTTGTCTGTGATTTGAGACAAAAGTTTTGAGTACCCTAAGCCTAAATCTTGATGTTGGACAATTTCCTTATCTGTAAAATTGAATTATATCTTTATGCTATTAAAATTGGGGGCAGTTGTCACTAATAATATTTTAAAAATGAAACCATGTCAGCTTTTAAGTGTAAGCTGGATTAAACAGAAGAAAAAAAGTGATAAAAGAGGAATGCTTAGTGACCTAGGGTCCCTAATTTGCCTTTTGTGTTTTACCACCATCTGTTTTCCATGATTTTCCTACTTTCTGATTTCACCTTTTGACATACTTGTTACTTTTACTCATTTCTGTTTTCTTTACACAGTCGTACTCCTGGAAGTCGTCAAGCCTCTCCAACTGAAGTAGTTGAGCGCCTGGGCCCCAATACTAATCCCCCAGAAGGATTGGGGCCTCTTCCTAATCCTACAACTAACAAACCACTTGTTGAAGAATTTTCAAATCCTGAAACTCAGAATCTGGATGCCATGGAACAAGTTGGTCTGGATTCCTTACAGTTTGACTATCCTGGTAATCAGGTACCAATGGACTCCTCAGGAGCTACTGTAGGCCTTTTTGACTACAATTCCCAGCAGCAGGTAAAGAATACTCCTCCTTTAGCGATGTTCCTCTTATCTAGTAGCAGTATAGCCTGAAGTGCTGTGAGATGTTCACATAAATAATAGGGGTATTTTTAAATCCTTTAATGTTTTATTGAATAAAATGTCCTTATTGTTGAGAAAGTGATTAAAATATGTATTTGTAATATTCCATTCTTAGCTTTCTGAACAAAAATGAAATGCTGTGAGACTAATCTCTGTACTCAATACTTTTCTTAATAGCTCTTTCAGAGGACTAATGCACTAACAGTTCAGCAGTTAACTGCAGCTCAGCAGCAGCAGTATGCATTAGCCACAGCTCAGCAGCCACATATAGGTGAGTCTTTGTAAGTTACCGTTTTAATTACAGTGTTAGAAAGTCTTGTGTTAAAGTGTTTAGATCTTATTTAATGGTGTTATTTCATTACTTTCTGAAACATCTCATTGAGATAAAACAGTAGTAGATTACATGGCAAGAGTAAAGATTAGGAAAGAACAGTTTGGCGTTTATTTTACTTGTATTCTTGGTGAAATAAAAATCTGTAACTTGATGGAAGCTGTCAGCACATAAGTTTTTTTTCTTAGTGTGAAGTGGAGAGCATTAAACACTTGAAAATTCAAGCATTGTTTTGGGTGTTCATATCAAGTCAGAGTGTTTGTTTTTGAAATGGGTTGGAAGTAAGAATCACAAGACAATTTCTTTAAATTTTTTCTTCCTTCCTTCATTAAGCTATTTAGTCTTTGAGCTTTATAGTAAAGACTATAATTATGTGAAATACTATGATTACATATGTCTTATTGGTAGAGTTCAGGCATTAGTACCTGTTTTTCTGTTGGGTTTTTTTTTTTTTAACTTATTTTGAAATAATTACTGGTTCACATGTGGTTGCAAGGAGGGTACACAGATTCGCCACCTAGTTTTCCCTAAATGACTACACGTTAACGTAATCAGAGTATAGTACCACAGCCGTTGGTAAATGTGTGTGTATAGATGCCTGTCATTTTATCATGTGTATAGATTCATGGGAACCATTCTTACACCTGATTTTGGCCGACCTCGATTTCTTTCCACTCTCAACATCAGGATGTTTGGGGACCGGGGATGAGATAAACTAAGTTAGTTCTATTCCCTTAACTTTGTTTTGTTTTGGGTCAATCCAAGAAGTCTTTCCAGGTACAAAATTTTATTTTCGGTTTTAATCAAAGGTGACCACATATTTCTAGATGACTTCTAATAGCAGCATGCACTCTGGACCTGTTTTTTTACACTTTTCCCCAGCCTTCTTTATCCCTGTATATAATGCTGCTTCACTCATTGTTAGAAACATTGATTCCTGTCTACTTGTGGGCCATTACAACACTTTTTGTTTCTTGACACTTCATTGTATGATTTATATGTGGTAGGCTGGGATACCTATTATTGCTCTTCCTTTTGGTAGTTTTAAATTTTCAGCTCTTGCCTTTTCTTTTGTATGAGCTTTAAAATCCTCTTATTTACTTCCATATGCATGTGTGCTCAGTGTCCGGCTCTTTGTGATCCCATGGACTGTAGCCCACCAGGCTCCTCTGTCCATGGAATTCTCCAGGCAAGAATACTGAAGTGGGTTGCCATTTCCTCCTCCAGGGATCAAACCCATGTCTCCTACATTGGCAGGTGGATTTTTTAACCACTGAGCCATTTGGGAAGCCCCTGTTTACTTTCAGATCAGGTTAAAATCTTAAATTAACTTATGAAAAGTAACATCTTTATGACATTAAGTATTCTTCCAGAACCTAGTGTGTCTTTAATTTTGTTAAAGTTTTCTTTTGTGGTGTTTATGAGTGCTTTAAAGTTTTTCTCATATAAGTTTGTGTATTTTTCAGTAGGTTTGTTCTTTGGTATTTTATCTTTTGCTATCATTGTAAATGACTTCCTGGCTTTCATTATATCTTTAAACTGGTATCTGTGAAGAAAGCTCTTGATTAGTGTTTATTAAATTTTTTAATGCTGTTTTCTAATAACTGACTCATTCCTGTGCTCTTAGAATTTAAAAGAATTGTATATAATATTGAGCTCTTTTAATTTGCTAATTTTTTAAGGATTTTTATCAGTATATAAATGAATTTAGCCTGTGTGTGTATGCATTTTTTTGTTAGATTTTGATATCAATATACTTGTTTCCTAAAATAGTTTAAAAGTTTTTTTTTTTAATGCCTTGGAGTATTTTCGATTACATTTGACCTTATAAAAGATTTGGCATAAGTTAGAAACTTGTTTGTGAAACTAGGGAAACTATTCAAATAAATCTGAAAACTTGAATAGAATGGAAATTTCTAAGAAAGTATAACTTAACAAAATGGATCCCATCTTTGTTCCATTGTTAAATAGAGAAGAGTTGATCATTAGTCCTTTTATCCAGGTTTGCTGAGTCATCTCTTAGCTGGCTGATAAGTTCATTTAGATTCAGTTCAGTTCAGTCGCTCAGTCGTGTCCGACTCTTTGTGACCCCATGGACTGTACCATGTCTGTGCTCCCTGTCCATCACCAACTCCTGACTTTACTCAGACTCATGTCCATTGAGTCGGTGATGCCATCCAACCATCTCATCCTCTCTCATCCCCTTCTCCTCCTGCTTTCAGTCTTTCCCAGCATCAGTGTCTTTTCCATTGAGTCAGTTCTTTGCATCAAGTGGCCAAAATATTGGAGCTTCAGCATCAGTCCTTCCAATGAGTATTCAGGACTGATTTCCTTTAAGATTGACTGGTTTGATCTCCCTGCAGTCCAAGGGACTCTCAAGAGTCCTCCAACTCCACAGTTCAAAAGCATCGATTCTTCTGCACTCAGCTTTCTTTATAGTCCATTCTGTCATTTGTGAGATTGCCTCCAAGTACTGCATTTCGGACTCTCTTGTTGCTGACTATGATGACTACTCCATTTCTTCCAAGGGATTCTTGCCCACAGTAGTAGATATAATGGTCATCTGAGTTAAATTTACCCATTCCAGTCCATTTTAGTTCACTGATTCCTAAATTGTCTATGTTTACTCTTGGCAGCTCCTGTTTGACCACTTCCAATTTACCTTGATTCGTGAACCTAACATTCCAGGTTCCTATGCAGTATTGCTCTTTACAGCTTTGGACTTTACTTCCATCACCAGTCACATCCACAACTAGGTATTGTTTTTGCTTTGGCTCCATCTCTTCTTTCTTTCTGGAGTTATTTCTCCACTGGATCTCCAGTAGCATATTGGGCACCTACTGACCTGGGGAGTTCATCTTTCAGTGTCCTCTTTTTGTCTTTTCATACTGTTCATGGGGTTCTCAAGGCAAGAATACTGAAGTGGTTTGCTATTCCCTTCTCCAGTGGACCACATTTTGTGAGAACTCTCTACCATGACATTGTACCAATAAAAATATGTGCTCCATAGAATTTAAAATTCTCTAGTAGCCACATTTTAAAAAATAAAAAGAAATGTGTGAAATTAGTTTGAATAATATTTTATTGATCCTGTTAATACTTAAAATATCTCAAATGTAATCAATATAAAACAGTAATAAATTCTCTTTTTTATATAGTCTTTGAAATTAGGTGTGCTGTATATGGCAGTAACTACCATAGCAGACAGTGCATGTTCTAGAATGGAGGTTGACAAACTTTATTCTGTAAAGTCCCAGATAACAAATATTTTACATTTTGCCTGCCATATTTTTTCCATCACAACTACTCAACCTTCCTCTTATAGAGCAAAGCAGCCATAGACAGTACCTAAATGAGTACAACTATGTTCTCTTCAGCTTTACTGTGGGCACTGTTACTGGAATTTTGTATGATTTTCATTTGTTACAAATTACTATTTTCAACCATTTAAAAATGTTTAAATCATTCTTAGCTAATTTATACAAAAATAGGTAGTAGGCTAAAACTTGGCCCATGGACTGGACCAGAAAGAGGTGATAGATACAGTATATTTTATGTTTTAAAATGTACATCTACACTCAAAAGAGGGAGAGAAAGAGAAAAGAAAAAGATGGGGTTGTTTTGATGGCTGGAGAGTTTCTGTAGGGTAGGAAATTGAGATGTGATCCATAGGAATAAACTGGAAATAAACTATGAGGGCTGCAAGAGGGATAAATAAAATGGCCTGCTCATCCCAGGACTGGGGTTGAGGGGGTTAGATCCCCAAACCACTAATAAAAACTTGATTTGGAGACTTCACCCTACAGTGTGTATTTGTCAATTGGGATGGATAAATGTAAGAGAATCTCTCATATAAGATAGTATCTAAAACAGAAATTACAACGCAAACAACAATAGAGTTTATACCCATGATACAGAAATAAGAGAACTTTAAAGTTCTGAAAAGAATTTTTAAGTGTTTATTTAGAATATTAAGAGATAAAGGACATAAGTCATCAAAGATCAGAGGTCTTAAAACATCAAGAAAAAGTTCTGAAAAGAATTTTTTAAGTGTTTATTTAGAATATTAAGAGATAAAGGACATAAGTCATCAAAGATCAGAGGTCTTAAAACATCAAAATGATGTGAAAACAAACCATTTCAGAACCTTGTAAATAAAAACACATGGGGTGTACTGCATGATTAACTAGCTATCACCTAGGAGGAAATAGACCAGAAGATAAAACTTAGGAAATCTCTCAGAACACTGAAAAGTTACACATAGTAATCAGGATGTGGGATGGAGTAGGGAGTAACTAAACTAGTGCAAGGCTTTTTCTGAAGGCTTGAATAAATGGGGACACATGCCCTTTGTGGGAAACTCAGTACCTTAAAGATGTAAATTCTCCTTAAATTGTGAATTTAATATATTGATTGGAATACCAACAGGACCTTTTTTTTTTTTTTGAAACTTAAAACTTTGTTTTTGATGTTTATCTCAGAAAAGTGAAACCAGAAAGTTAATAGAACACTAAAGTGAGAGATGGACTTAGCCATATTTCAAAGTAATTATTATCTTCAGTGGTTAAAACATTGTGGCGCTGGCTTAGAAATATATAACTAGGTCAGTAAACAAGAATACTGTGAAGTGAGGGTGTGTGTGTTTGGGGTGTGGTGGTAGTGTGATTTTTAACCTTAACATTGCAAATTAATTAGAGTATCTTTGGAAAATGACTTGGAGATAATTGGGTCATATTCCGATGGATAAGAATTTTAATGAAAAAATAGAAGTATAAAAGATCTGATAAAGTTTGTCTCTTTGATAGCCAAAGAACCATAGATTAAAACCAACTAATTTTAATACTTTATTTTACTTCTCACATTGTCAACTTTAAAAAAATTCAATAATACCCTATTTCATCTGAGTGTAGGTGGTATTCTCGTACTCATGGCAGTAGTGTAAATTGGTAAAACTTTACTGGAGGGTAATCTGGACAGGTGGATGGAGATTAAATATATATGTTTCTCCATTTAAGTGAATTTTCATAAGGATATGATGATAATGTATACTTAAAGAATAATAGCATTATTAATAGCAAAAAGTGAATCATCTGTATATCTGTAGTAGACTAGTTAAATCACGTTCCTTTTATGTAGTGGGATCCAGAACTCTGCAGCTATAAATATTACTAGGAGGTTCCCCGGCAGTCTAGTGGTTAGGATGCACACTTTCACTGCTGAGGGCCAGAGTGCAATCCCTGGTTGTGGGAAATGAAGATCCTGCAAGCCAGGTGGCATGCAGCAGCCCCCTACACACACCACCAAAAAAATTAAAATGAATAGGTATCCCTTGACATGGAAAGGGATCTGTGTTTAACTGGCAAGTGAGAAAAGTATATTAAAGTACCATTATACCCTATAATATAAAACTTATCAGGGTGTTTGTATATATATATTCATTTAAAAATTTAGAAGGACATGTATTTATACATATGTACATATAAACATAGATTCAAACACATGTATGTGTATACATGCAAACATATGCATTTATGTGTACACACACATAATAGGCTTCCCTTGTGCCTCAGCAATAAAGAATCTGCCTGCAATGCAGGAGGTGCAGGTTCAATCCCTAAGTAGGTGAAGATCCCCCGGAGAAGGAAATGGCAACCCACTGCAGTATTCTTGCCTGGGCAATCCATGAACAGAGGAGCTTAGCGGACTACAGTCGTGGGATCGCAGAAGAGTCAAACATGACTTAGTGACTAAACAACAACAGGAACACACACAAGCATATGGCTTGAGATCTCATATGTTGTAAATATTTCTAAGTGAATCATGTGAGCTTAAAATAAGTTTTCCCTTTTTTGGCAGAAGTTTCAGTATATATACATTGTGCTAAGTTGCTTTCAGTCACTCTTTGTGACCTTATGAACCATAGGTCACCAGCCTCCTCTGTCCATGGGATTTTCAGGCAAGAATGCTGGAGTGGGTTGCCATTCCCTCCTCCAGGGGATCTTCCCAACCCAGGGATCAAACCCACATCTCCTACAGTTCCTGCATTGGCAGGCGGGTTCTATACGACTGGCACCACCTGGGAAGCCCTAATATATCCATTAGGTGAAACTGATTCCTTCTTTTTCAGGTATTTGAAACCTTCCTGCTTTTTGTCAGCTTTGTAGTATAAATATGGAGAGAGCTATGTTAAAATCATTTTCTGAAGTCAAAAAAGAAAATTGAGAAGGCTATAAATTAATGGTCAGTAAAGGTTACATGAGGACTTTGGCTTTCCACTTTTTATACTTAAATATTAATAGTATTTTGAGTTTTTAAAAGCAGTCTTTTTTAATAATAAAAATATAGAGGGAGACGAGACCAGAGGCCGAACTCGGGATCTGACAAGATGGCCGGGCTGCCCCGCAGGATTATCAAGGAAACCCAGCGTTTGCTGGCAGAACCAGTTCCTGGCATTAAAGCAGAACCAGATGAGAGTAACGCCCGTTATTTTCATGTGGTCATTGCCAGCCCTCAGGATTCCCGCTTTGAGGGAGGGACTTTTAAACTTGAACTATTCCTTCCAGAAGAATACCCAATGGCAGCCCCTAAAGTACGTTTCATGACCAAAATTTATCATCCTAATGTAGACAAGTTGGGAAGAATATGTTTAGATATTTTGAAAGATAAGTGGTCCCAGCACTGCAGATCCGCACAGTTCTGCTATCGATCCAGGCTTTGTTAAGTGCTCCCAATCCAGATGATCCATTAGCAAATGATGTAGCGGAGCAATGGAAGACCAACGAAGCCCAAGCCATAGAAACAGCTAGAGCATGGACTAGGCTATATGCCATGAATAATATTTAAATCGCTTCGATCCTCAAGTGTGCATCACTTCTCTTCTGCCAAGACTTCTTTTTTGTTTGCATTTAATGGATACAGTCTTAGAAACATTACAGAATAAAAACCCAGACATCTTCAACCCTTTGCTGATTAAATGCACATTAGCAAATCTATGTCTTGTCCTGATTCACTGTTGTAAAGCATGAGCAGAGGCTAGAAATACCATCTGGATTGTTGCGAAACATTTAAAAGCAGTGGCGCCTCTCTGCTTTTATTCATTTCCCCCATCATGGTTTAAGTATAAAGCACTGTGAATGAAGGTAGTTGTCAGGGTTAGCTGCAGGGGTGTGGGTGTTTTTCTTTATTTTATTATTATTATTTTTTTTTTTGGTGGGGGGGAAGGTAGTTTTATTTTAATTTTATGGGCTCCTTTCCCCCTTTTTATGGTGATCTAATTGCATTGGTTAAAAGCAGCTAACCAGTTCTTTAGACTCTGCTCTCTAGCCAAGTCTAACTTTATTTAGACGCTGTAGATGGACAAGCTTGATTGTTTGAGCCAAAATGGGAACATTAAACAGACATCACAGCCCTCACTAATAACATTGTGACCTTGCTGTCAAGTGTAGAATCCTCCCTTCAAGAAAAAGCTTGTGACCATTTTGTATGGCTTGTCTGGAAACTTCTGTAAATCTTATGTTTTAGTAAAATATTTTTTGTTATTCTAAAAAAAATATATATATATATAGAATATAAAGTTAGGTCCTGACTTTTCAATTTGTAGTTAATAGGAGTAGAACATGTATATCAAAACATCTTTATTCTTGTCGTGATCATCAAAAAAGCAAGAGAGTTCCAGAAAAACATCTATTTCTGCTTTATTGACTATGCCAAAGCCTTTGAATGTGTGGATCACAATAAACTGTGATAAATAAAATTCTGAAAGAGATGGCAATACCAGACCACCTGACCTGCCTCTTGAGAAATCTATATGCATGTCAGGAAGCAACAGTTAGAACTGGACATGGAACAACAGACTGGTTCCAAATAAGAAAAGGAGTACGTCAAGACTGTGTATTGTCATCCTGCTTATTTAACTTAAATGCAGAGTACATCATGAGAAACACTGGGCTGGAGGAAGCACAAACTGGAATCAAGATTGCCGGGAAAAATATCACCCTTATGGCAGAAAGTGAAGAAGAACTAAAGGGCCTCTTGATGACAGTGAAAGAGGAGAGTGAAAAAGCTGGCTTAAAACTCAACATTCAGAAAACTATGATCATGGCATCTGATCCCCATTACTGCATGGCAAATAGATGGTGAAACAGTGGCTGACTTTATTTTTCTGGGCTCCAAAATCACGGCAGATGGTGACTGCAGCCATGAAATTAAAAGATGCTTTCTCCTTAGAAGGAAAGTTATGACCAACCTAGACAGCATATTAAAAAGCAGAGACATCACTTTGTCAACAAAGGTCCGTCTAGTCAAGGCTATGGTTTTTCCAGTGGTCATGTATGGATGTGAGAGTTGGACTATAAAGAAAGCTGAGTGCTGAAGAATTGATGCTTTTGACCTGTGGTGTTGGAGAAGACTCTTGAGAGTCCCTTGGACTGCAAGGAGATCCAGCCAGTCCATCCTAAAGGAGATCAGCCCTGGGTGTTCATTGGAAGGACTGATGCTGAAGCTGAAACTCCAGTATTTTGGCTACCTGATGCAAAGAGCTGACTCATTTGAAAAGACCCTGATGCTGGGAAAGATTGAGGGCAGGAGGAGAAGGGGATGACAGAGGATGAGATGGTTGGATGGCATTGCCGACTCAATGCACATGGGTTTGGGTGAACTCTGGGAGTTGGTGATGGACGGAGCCCTGGCATGCTGCAGTTCACAGGGTCACAAAGAGTCATACACGACTGAGTGACTAAACTGAACTGAGCTGAATCACAGTAGAGGCACTAGAGGGAAATCTCGAAAGCCTTTGATGTAGGGCATAACTAAGAATGCAACTTTGAGCAAATAATTTTTTAAATAGTGCAGGGATTTAATTGAACCCTCTCTTTTATTCAAATGGCCATGTGTTGCCTGGCCATGAAATCAGTATTGTAGGTTGTGGCCGTTATTTCTTAAAATTGGCAATTTACTTTAGAGTGCATTGAAATTTCATAAGAGTAAACATTTTTTTGAGATTTTGTTTGTGGCATTTGCGTGTGTGGATGCTAGGTCCATGTGAAATAATATTTTACATTGTGCGTCACAGTCCAGAAACATGAAAACCACTGTAATATCATAATCATAAAAGTTATTTTATGTCCTCTTGCTTTTTATGCCTATATCCATCCCCCACCATCTTTTCAACTTGAACCTTTTTGAGCTCCTTTAACTTTAAACATGTTCTCTTTAGCTATTTCCTACCTTGTACTTCTCACATTTACTTTCCAGAAGAGGAAATTCTAGCATAAATCTTCCTTAGCCTCCTTTACCAAATCTATATTGGCATATATTAGACTCAGAAGTGGGTTTATTCTCCTGCTTAAAACTCACTATTTTTCTTTTACTTTCAGAGTAAAGTCCCAACTGCTTAACATGACCCAGGAAACTTCATGAGTCTTCATTCTGATATGGCTCCAGTTTTATCTTACTACCACTCCATACCATCCTACCAAAAGCTCCTTTGACATCCTGTCTTTCTGTGCTCATAGCACTTACACTGTATTCTACTTGTTTTTCTGACTAGATTGTGATTTGTGAGGGCACATCATATCTGTCCTCCTCAGTGTTGAATGCCTAGCTCATAGTTGACCTAATAAAGATTGAATGAAAAACCACTATTGAACAATAGTAGTTCTAGCTCTAAACATTTATTGTGTGCCTGTTAGGTGCTAGTACTATACAATCATTTATATTTAATTTGAACAGAATTTACTGGTTATATACCTGTTGCATACATGAAGAATCCCAGAACCAGTTTGCGTTACATACTCAAGGTCACTTAGGTAGTAAGAGTTAGAATCATCATATACTCTCTCCTCCCCAACCCCAATTTCAGAATAGAATTTTTTTTCCTAATGAAGAAAATCATGCATATGTTTTTATTATTTCTCTCTCTTTCAAATATAGCTGGTGTATTTTCAGCAGGCCTTGCTCCAGCTGCATTTGTGCCAAATCCATATATTATTAGTGCTGCTCCTCCAGGGACTGATCCATATACTGCAGCAGGATTGGCTGCAGCAGCTACATTAGCAGGTAACTCACTGTTCATACTTGTTGCTTATTCTGGATTTAGTTTTAATTTGGGGGTAAGCTTTACTTTTGTCTATTGGGGCAATTTGAAGTTCCTAGGGAAAACTGAAACATATCCAGAGTGAAATGAAGTTTCCAAAGTTAGTTTATTTTTCAACTGTAACGCTACAGGAGAAAACCTAAGTCTGATAACTCTTTTCCTCCTGGGCATAGTTGGTTTATATTTTAGTTTCATAGTTTTCAAAAACCTTAATTAGCAAATCTTTATTCTTGTAACTGATCCCATTTACCCACAGAGACAATGCAAATAAAGTTACTTCTCAGAAAATAAGCTGGACACTCACAGGCGTCTCTATCGCAGCTACCCCTAGGTCAGGAATAGTAAATACCCAGGTCAGGAATAGGACAAGGTAAAGAGGTTCAGTCTTGAGTGAATGAGTATCTAAAAAGTAAAGTTTAATTAGCAATATTAGAATAAACAGGCAAGCTGAGGGATGAAAAGGTGGGATTGAGTTGGAAAGAACATATTAGTAAATGTCAAAGCCTGATAACTGCCACTCAAAATCTGGACTAAAAAGCAGAAGTACACAGTGTCACGTGTCAATTGTATTGCACTAAAGCTGAAAAAAAAATTTTTTTTAAACCAAATTGTATTTCCCATTTAAGTAAGAAAGACTTGTGTACTGGTTTGGCACAATATTATTGAGCAAAGTGATTTGTTGTCTAGGGTTTAGAGGGAGAAGTTGTTTTACATTGAGTCAGTTATAGAGACAGGAATGAATTAGCCTTAAGCATGATTTATGTTGGTTACCAAGACAGGAGCAGGGAGATATAAACCATGGAAGTGTGTTTCCTTGGTTGAGGCTGCTGATTGACTAGCTTTTCATAACTTGAAGCTGTCAGTGATAAATTCACTGAATTAACACTGATCAATTAATGTTATATCTGCTTTTGGTAGTTATTTATTATCATGCCTACAGAACAGGTATTTTTTTCTTAGGCATCTGTGGGTTTCTTAGGTATCTGTCTACCTTTTTTTAATACACAAGAATTTTAAGACATGGGGGAAAATGTTAATTTCAAATTCCTGCTGGATCCCTTAGTTAGCCAACTGAAACTAACCTGTCACAATGAGTACTTTTGGTGTAGATCTGCCTGTGCTTCCATAAGGATGTGAGCTTTCCTGGTACCATTTAACTGGATGTTAATATGTAAAGTGCTGGTGTAGCTTAAGTACAGAGAATCATTAATCTGTGAATCTGTGGAACATGAAAGAAGCAATTTAAGTGATCATTAGTTTCAAGATAAGGATTCTTGGCATTCTGGACTTACTTAGACTTTCTGAGATCAGCACTGTCCAATAGAGATAGAACGTGAGCCAGATAATGTAACTTAGATTTTTTTTTTCCTAGTAACCATATTATAAAAATAAAAAACATGAACTTAATTTCAGTGATCTGTTTGGTTTAACTATTGATTATTGATAGTTTTTATAGATAGGTACTTTTTTTAAATGCTAAGTCTTCAAAATCCCCATAGTAAGTATGTATTACATACTTAGAACACATCTCAGCTCAGGCTATTCAACTTCCAACTGTTTAGCCACAGGTGACTTTTGACTACTTTTGGACAGAGAAGTTCTAGCTGGATGTCTGATTCTTTTTGTTTTGTTGTGACAGTGTATCCTTTCTTCATAAATCCTTTTCTTATGTTTTAAGAGTCTTTATTGTAGATTTTGCTTAAACTGTCTTTGAATTTTTTTTTAAGCTTTTCATGTTAGCGGTTCAGTTATACCAGGCTTTATTTTCTTCTAAAACAAAGTGAAACCAAGAGTTTGACTTTGTAAAATACATGTTAGATACACTAATATGCAATGCTTCCCTAGTAGCTGAGTTGGTAAAGATCTGCCTCCAATGCAGGAGACCCAGATTCAGTTCCTGGGTTGGGAAGATCCCCTGGAGAAGGAAATGGTAATCCACTCCAGTATTCTTGCATGGAGAATCCTATGGACAGAGAAGGCTGGCAGGCTGCAGTCCATGGGGTCGCAAGAGTTGGACACGACTTAGCATCTAAACCACCACCACCACCACCAGATACACTAAAACCATATCAGTGGAATTTAGGACATGTTTGTTTTATCAGCCAGGAAACATGACATGTTAATTATTAATTTAATGGCAAGTCTTATTTTGTGTGATACTACATACTGACCAGAAATTAAGTTTTATCTTGAATAAAGTAGATAGAGCAAGAATTTACTGTTTTTTCCTGGGTTGCTTTCTTATGTCTGTGTCCCTTTATGATTATATAATATAGTTCATTCTTGTCTTAACTTACTGGTTCCAGTTTCCTAATCACATAAGCACTGACGTTTTATTTGTTTTTATGTGATTTTCACTTGCTTTGTGAGAGTTGTAACTGATTTTGTTTCAGATATGAAAAATATTTTAAAATTCTGTTTGCAAATAAAATATACTGTTAGCAAGCTTAGTACCAAAATGTTCCCTAATTTTATGTTACATTTTACAAATTAAAAGCCAAAAATGTTTTCAGTTAAAAAAATTCCTTTTTCAAAAGAGTGATGAATTGAATATAGGAAATCTTTATGTTGTCTAATGTTCCTATTTGCCAGTGTCAGGTGCATAAACTAGCATTCAATAGCTGTTGAAAAGGTGATTAAGTGTTCTGTTAGTTCATTTGTCCCTCTTGAGTTTAGTTTCATATCTTTTCATTAATACCACCTCTTTTCATTAATGTCACCTCTGAATACTTTGTTTTTTTAATAATCCATGCCTCAGTAGGCTGTCTCTAGTAGAATTGGGAAAGGGGAAAGCAATTCCATGTGGATATAGGATTGTAAGGACATCTACTCTAAGTCTAATGCACTGTTCCTTTCTTTATGATCTAATGGTAACTGACCAACCTTATTCTATAAAATGTAGTGACTTTTTTTAAATTTTTTTGGGGGGGTGGGATGTGGGGTTTAGGTCCGGCAGTGGTTCCACCTCAGTATTATGGTGTTCCGTGGGGGGTGTATCCAGCCAATTTATTTCAGCAGCAAGCTGCAGCTGCGGCAAACAACACAGCAAATCAACAAGCAGCATCACAAGCTCAGCCTGGACAGCAACAGGTATAGGCTTGCCTTCATTAAATAATATCTAAAGAGTCTTTGAAGTTGTATGAGCCCCTTGCATTCAAGATCTGTGTTTTTTCTCTGTTTATTTTTCCCAGTGTGTTTAGCATAGTACCTATCATATAGTTGGTACACAAGTATTATGGGTTTTTTTCCCTCTAGCTCTAATTATGTGAGTTTTAATATTTATTCCACTTCTACATTTCTGTGTTTGAAACTGTCTTGAAATCTCTTAAGTTTTTAATTTTTTCTTCACTTTTTTTTTTTCACTTCTTGAAGTGTACTCACAGTGTTTCTATTAAAGTGATTGTCAGTTCATTTCCTTCTGGGTATTTAAATTACTATTTTAAATATTAACTTAATATATTTCTGACCAGAAAAAGGAGGTTACTGGGTTCTTTGTTTTTAAGCAAGGAAAGATGAAATATTTTCAGTAAGGTTAGATTTAATTTCTTAAAACAGAAAATGTTTATCTTGAAGATTTTGTTCCCAGTTTCTGCTTTCCTGAACCTATTTTTGTAAATAAATGTCAAAGTAAAATTCTGATAAAAGTGCCAGAATACTGGTTGTCAAATTTATCATACTTATACCAAAGAAGCAACTTAATGACAAGTACAGTGTTTGTTACTTGGCAGTTGAATTTTCTTTTTAAACTATGTTGATGTTCTGTTAAAGCTGTCCTTTGACTCAGTCCTTGTAGATTATACCATAGCACCATTTAATACTCTTAAAATCTGTTTTCTTCGGCTAAACAAATAAATCACATTGCCTAAACATTACCCATACCTGTGGCATGATGCTTGCTTCCATGGTTGGACTTGAGATGAATCCCCCTTGTCCTGAACTGTTGAAGTATTTACCTTTGTGAAATTAATGTGTATCATGGTTGTGTTATATCACTGTAAGAAGAGCTGTGTATTATGAAGTAGTAAAGTTTGACCATTCTTAAGAGTTTTCACATTTTTTGATGAAATCTTTGTTCCTTTTTTCACCCTAAGATTTGACAGTAATGAGCAGCTTTTTGCTCACTTTATTAAAGCTTCTAAATGCTAAAAACTGGTTAAATTTGAAGTTTTCACTCTGCATCACAATCTTGTAAGAAACTAATTGAATCGTCATTTAACTTAACAGTTTTCAGTCTTAGAATATTACAGAATTTAAACTTTTTTCTTCATCTAAACTTTTGCCCTTTCTCCCCAAATATCTCTCTCATTTTAATGCTACTTTGGTAAGTTAAAGATCACAAACACTAGAAATAATTTTTTGTGAAGACCTTATAAAATCTCCTTGTTGCTTAATAGATTATGTTCTTGAATTACATAATTTATACTTTTTAATGGTAAACTGACATTTCTTTGAATGTAAATATGTTCAAAGAATACCCAAAGGCTTTCTGCAATATAAAGTTGTCCAAGATAAATTAATTTGTTATTTTCTAATATCGTTTCTAAGGAAATCATTTGTCCTTTGTAGGTTCTCCGTGCTGGGGCAGGTCAGCGCCCTCTTACTCCCAATCAGGGCCAGCAAGGGCAGCAAGCTGAATCACTTGCAGCAGCAAATCCAACTTTGGCTTTTGGTCAGGGTCTTGCTACCGGCATGCCAGGTATATAGTTGGTTGATTGTGGAAATTTGGATAGATTTAAAAGGTTTAAAGTAGATTGTCACACCGAGGAGTGAGAAAAATCAACACACCTTAAAATCCTACACTGCAATAAATTATTTAGAACTCAGGTGCCAATAGGTGAAATCAGTATCTTTTGTGAGACTTAATGACAGGGATGACAAATGTACATTAGAATTCTCAAAAACATTTTTTATTAGTCTGCTTATAGTGTGAATCATAGCATCTTTCTAATGGAGCATAGCTCAGAATTCTTAATGCAGTGCTTTAAGAAATAAAACCATTTGTTAGCATGTAAGACAAAACCTATTTGCCATTCCTGCCTTACAAGGTTAGTCATTTAATTAGTTAATGTTGAGAAATGTACATTTTCCACTTAGGACTTAGTTCAGCCTTATTTAGTACATTTATAGTATTTTAATCTATTGATATTTAAAACCTAATGGCATCAGTATTTAGTAAATTTTCTGCCCGTTGCTGCAGTACAACTTTTAGAAAAGACCAGCAAAATACATTTTTTGTAAAGTTAATTTGTGTGAAAATTACTACTTTAATAGTGAAAGATGGAAGCTATTTTTCTTAAGCTAATAAATGGCACTTGTTAATGTTTTTAAAGTGAAATTTAAAGGTTACATTTGAATGTCTGTAGATAATGCATCACCTCCTGTTCTATTCCTTCATATCTCTGCACTCCTAAAGACCCACTTTTAAGCATGCTGTTTTTTTACATTTAGTATAAGAGTACTCCTTTAACTATGTAGAGTACAGCTGACCCTTGAACAACCACCGGTTTGAACTGTGTGGGTCCACTTGTTCTTGAATCTTTTTCAGTAACCATGTACTATAGCACTACAGTCTGTGGTTTATTCAGTCCTGCAGGTGCAGAATAGTGGGTGTGGAGGGCTGACTGTAAAGTTAAATGCAGATTTTTAGTTGCACAGAGGGTCAGTGCCCCTAATACCTGTGCTGTTCAAGAGTCAACTGTACTTATTAATGAAATACATGTTCCAGTTTCATTTAATTGTGCTGTAGATGAATTTTCTCTTCAGATCATGTAGGAGATGTGTTTAATGCATTGGAGAAGGTCCTGACTTACATGATTCGACGGTTTTTTAATACGCTGCTCAGTATTTCTTTATATTGTTTTGAGGAATTCTGTATCAGTTACATTCATTCTGTTCTCTCTGAAATTCTAAGGTCAGAATTTACCGTCTTGTTTAGCCTACTGAATGAAAAAGGATGTTAATACTGTCTCTGAAGTACAAATGATAGTAGAACAGGGCTATTCTCGTTATTTTCCTTTTTTACCCCAGCTACATCTTGCTTCATGGAAGCTACTGTCCCAGAGCTGTTGTAGATTAGAGACCTGGCAAAAGCAGCTCTTTGTGAAATGGACTGTGAAGCTAAAATTACAGGCACGTGTAGGGATGGAACAAAGCTAAAAAGAACTGAACTGGGAGTTTATGAAAGCCCCTGCTAAGACTGTTCTGGGTCCCTCTTGTTTCTTAGCTTAAATAGGAAAGGGAGAAGAGTCACAGAGTACCATAGTCCTGCCTTACTAGAATCTCAGTAGGACTGTGATTTAAGAGAATGCTTCTGGCCTGTGTATATTTGCTACTCCCTTTTACTGTTGCTAATTTTTTTTAGACTTTTGATGCTGGTCCTATCATTTACTTCCTATAAATGCCTTTGCTCCTGTTTCTCATGTTCAGCTCATGTTCTTGTTGACTTAAAAAAAATCAAGGTATTTTGCTATTAATTTTATCAACTTTATCAATTTTATTAACTTTATCAACAAATAATATCAACTTTGCTATTTTATCAAGTTAATTTTATCAACTTTTATCAACTTTGCTATTAATTTTATCAAAGTTGATAAATTTATCTTCTCAAAATTTATCTTTATGTTCACTTCCGTTCTATAAGAAAGCACTTTTTTGTTTTGTTTTGTTCACCAGTGAACTCTATGTTGGTAATCCTAACAAAACCACATTTTACAGTATATTTGTCTATAAAGAATTGACTATCTTTGGAGTGATGAGAAATTTAAAAGCAGGTAAAACTTTTAGGAAGAAATCAGGTTATTTTACCTAATCTTCTGAGCCACAACATTTAGTTCCTTTATGACTATAAATGTAAAAATCACTCTCATAAAAAGGGCTTTACTAGAATTAATATTGTTGTTCCTAAGTGATGTGTTGATTGTTTATATCATTCTCTCACTGTGAAACTTTTCTCTGTCTTCTGTACTTCATTCTGCCCAGGACTATGATGAAATAATTCTCCTTTATTCAAATAGTTACATAGTTATAAAATTTTATGTGCTAATAGAGGAGCTTGCTTAAGAAAATTGGTGTTTTTCTTCAAATCTCATAGAATTCTTAGCTTTTCCACATTCTGTGTTTCACTTCTCATCCATTAAATCCCTATTCCTTGTACTATGTTGATTATAGACTTTCAGTCCTTCTGCATGACTATATATGCTATCCATTGTTTCTTAGTCTTACATTTTCAGTCTTTATCCCTCTGCCACCTCCTTTTCTATAACCACTATGATACTAGTCTGCCTCGTCATCGTAAAAAACTTTCTCTCTCATGCTCCCCTCTTACTCTATTGATCCCTTTCAGAACTTACATTCTATCTGACACTGCTTTTTTAAGCCTTGCCTCCACGATTCTTTTTCAGTAATTCTAATGTAACTCAGTGCCAGAGTATGACTTCCTCTCTTCATCCTAACTTTTCTTCATTCTTCATTTTCTTGGTTGTATGTCTAACTTTGTGAAACTCCTCTCCCCTATGTTTGTGTGATATTTTACTCTCCTGGCTTTCCCATCTTTCTTATTGCTTTTTGTCAGTCTTCCTTTCCTCTGTATATCAATTAAACGTAAATGACAGTCTAGTCTAGTGACTAGATGCTTTTGGAGTCAGATCTGCCATGTTACTCTGCCACTTGATTGTGTGACCTTGACCATTGACCAGTTCTCTTTCCTCTTTGAACCTCAGTTTCTGTATTGGAAAAATAGAGATGCTTTATATACTTCCTGTGGGAGAATCTTAACTGGTTTCACTTTTCACCTGTCATTCCTGTGCCAGTACACCAAGTGAGTTTACATCTGCATCTTGTATTCTTTTCTGAACACATAACACATTACTACCTTTGTACAAAATATTACCATGTGTATGTTCCTGCTGTTCCCTTAAACTGAAAATTTCCCAAAATGAACTCACTTCTCCCAAATTTGCTTATCTTACTATTTACCCTATTTCACTATTAACTTCCTTCTCTTCTTGAGCTAGAAATTTTTTACTTCATCCTCAGAGTCATCTTTAAGTCTTAATTTCTTCTATGCCCACATTCAATGACTTGCCAATTCTTGGTTATTCTATCTCATGTCCACTTCTTTTCATCTCAGCTATTCTTGTTCAGCCTCTCCTATGTCCTCCCACTAACTCTGTAAGCCTCTAGTCTCTTCAGTTTATTTCATCTTTTTATTCTTTTGGTTTCCTTTCAAAGTTCCAGGTTAGTTTATACCATTCTGGTTGCTAACATTTCCATTAATCGAGCTCCAGACTACTTTTTAAACTACTTTTTAATCAACAGTGTCCTGGTTCTATACTTCAACATACTAGACCACAGACTGTTCCACAAACATTCTTTTATGCTTTTAGCTCTAGCCAACAATTTTCCTTTAGCATACCTTTTTATAAATTTTAAACAAAATTAGGATATATAGTTTTACATTTTCCTTTTTAAAACCTTGCTTTATACTTGTGATTAACTTTCTTTTTTGTCTTTTAATATGATCCTTTTCATGAAGCCTTTCTGAATCTTTCCCAGTGCTTGTTCATGAATAATTATTCCTTCTGGGACTTCCCTAGTGGTCCAGTGATTTCAGACTCAAGTGTTTCCAATGCAGGGGGCATGGGTTCGACCCCTGGTTGGGGAACTAAAATCCTGCCTGCCATGCGGCATGACCAAAAAAAGAAAATAATAATCATTTCTGCTTTTGTCATTCTTGTGGCACATAACTTGCTCCTTTCTTTAGTACTTCTCTCTGCCTTGTGTTTCATTTAGCTGTTTGTGATTTGTTAATTATTTTAGCATGTTTGGAGGTGGAAAATGTCTTAAAGTGAAAGAGTTACTTATTTCTCCCTAAGGGAAATTAATTGATCAATGTCAGGTCTGCAAATAAGTGGCACTTTAGGATTAAGAATACAGTATGTTACCTTCTCTATGAATTGTGTAATTCTTGAGTGTGAGGAGTGTGTCTTTTTTAGTGTCTTGTGTTTTATCAAGCTCTTTAAATAACAAAGATAGTATAATAGAAATTAGAAACTTTTGAACTGATTATGAAAATGCTGCATATTTAAACTTGTTTACTACACCTAAAAACAAAACATAAAAGAGGAATATATTGGCCTTTTCTTTTTAATTGAAATATAGTTGATTTACAAGGTTGTTAGTTTCAGATGTACAGCAGTTATATGTGTATATTCCTTTTCAGATTCTTAAAGGCTATCACAAAATAGTATAGTTTTCTGTGCAACACAGTCAGTCCTTGTTATCTTTTTTGTATGTGGTGTGTATGTTAATCTGAAACTCCTCTGTTCCCTCCTTTCCCTTTTGTAACTATAAGTTTGTCCTCTGTGTCTGTGGGTCTGTTTTTGTTTTGTACATAGATTCACTTGTGTCCTTTTTTTTTTTAAGATTTCTTGTCTTTCTCTATCTGGCTTACTTCACTTAGTATGATAATCTCTAGGTCCATCCATGTTTTTGCAAATGGCTGGAGTATATAGGCTTGAATACATACATTAGAAAATAAGTTTCTATCTGGGAACCATAAAATGAAGAAAATAAATTCTAAGAATTAAAGAAGGAAATGAAATAATAAAGATCAAAACTGATGTAGATGAAATAGATGACAGATATACAATTAAAAAGGTCAAGTTATCCCAAAAGTTGCTTTTTTAAAAAGACTAA